ATAAAGCATGTAAGTATTTTATTATATGACTTGTGTATAACAATTTTACATTCATTAGACAAATAAACCTACAACACCCGGCCCATCAGACCTACATTTATAAGTCACTTTTAGCAATATAGATATTCATTACGTATGTGTAATTTTTCTTTGTCTTATATTATATGCATTATATATGAAACTCGCAGTTTGACGTGGGAAATAAGTTAATAGATATCGAAATACATTGTAGAACATTTAAATCATTATTATGTAAATTTGAAATTCCAACATTTCTTAGAAAATCATGCATGTCTACAGTTTTTATAAAGATTACATTTTAATAGAAAATGAATTTCATCCTCTACTTCGTGCAAATACAAAGACTACATATAATTTTTCTGTCTGGAATTGGTTCTCCTCGATAGCGACCAGTCTCGATACTCAGTGGGACCTAACTGATTTTGGCAAGTCCATCGCAACGTATTGTTCAAGGCTGTATTCTTCCTTAACAGTGCAGTACGTCCGTAATTTTGCAGATTTTGAGCTCTACTGGTCAGAGACCAGAAGAGCTTATGCGATAGTGAGGTGTCCGTTGTCCGTCCGTCTGTAAACAATTTTTTCAAAACGCTACTCCTCCTACAGTTTTGGTCTGATTTCAATATAACTTGGCACACAAGTAGACTACACTAAGATACATAATTCTGTGTATCGGTTTTTGATTTCAATGAACAGTGTTGCCATGGTTACTAAAAATAGAAATTTCTGTGAAAAACTTTCAGAACGTTACTCCTCCTACAGTTTTGATCTGATTTCATTATAACTTGGCACGCAAGTAGACTATACTAAGATACATAATTCTATACATCGGTTTTTGATTTCAATGAACGGTGTTGCCATGGTTACTAAAAATAGAAATTTCTGTGAAATACTTTCAAAATGCTACTCCTCCTACAGTTTTGATCTGATTTCATTTTAACTTGGCACACAAGTAGACTATACTAAGATGTACATAATTCTGTGTATCGGTTTTTGATTTCAATGAACAGTGTTGCCATGGTTACTAAATATAGAAATTTCTGTGAAAAACTTTCAAAACGCTACTCCTCCTACAGTTTTGATCTGATTTCATTATAACTTGGCACACAAGTAGACTACACTAAGATACATAATTCTGTATATCCGTTTTTCATTTCGATGAACAGTGTTGCCATGGTTACTAAAAATAGAAATTTCCTTGAAATACTTTCAAAACGCTACTCCTCCTACAGTTTTGGTTTGATTTTAGTATAACTTGACACACAAGTAGACTACACTAAGATACATAGTTCTCTGTACCAATTTTGGATGTTGATGAACGGTGTTGCCATGGTTACTAAATATAGAAATTTCTGTGAAATACTTTCAAAACGCTACTCCTCCTACATGTTTTGTCTGATTTCAGTATAACTTGGCATACAAGTAGACTACAATGATATACATAATTGTCATTATTGCTTTTGATTTTGTTGAATGATGTTGCCATGGTTACTTAAATCGAAATTTCTGTAAAATTATTTTAAAAGGCTACTCCTCCTACAGTTTTATTCTGATTGTAATAAATCTTGCCACAAAAACAGACTAATCCAAGGATCATTATTCTATTTATTGCTGTTGCAAAGTTTCAAATCCAAGTGCTACCTTTATCTTCCTTTATAAGTACAACCAGTAGAGCTACAGTCTCATCAGAGACCTCTGGTTTAATATGAGATTGCCATTGCCATTTGGATTGTTAATTTGAAAGTTGTTTCTGAATAAGTATTTGAATACCGCAAAACTGCATGTTACGGAAAATGTAGTTTAAATTTGTGTTTTCACGGCACTGGATCCGCCTTTGTGGCTGTTGAACATCCACACTCACCATGTAAAGCTAAGAGAAGTTAACAGATGAACCCCGAGAAAGTATCGTTGAGCCCGATCCTGTACCATATCAATATTTTGTGCGATACTTCGTATCCCACTCACCGCTACAATAGTCGATTACGGGAGAGACACAATTATGAAAAAGCGTTTCAAATGTGTTGAAACCAAAGTGTTTAGGATGATGATGGATCCTTGATATCATTGCCCCTAAAGCACGGCCTCCTAATTTTGCGAGATTTTCTATTTTTGTCCTGAAGCCCCTATTATCATCAAATATAACACCTAAATATTTATAGAAAGAAGCATACTCAAGAATAATGTCTCCGAGGTAGAATTTGTAGCTACTCTGCATAAGATTCCTTTTTCGAAAATGCACAACTTTAGATTTTTCAGAATTTATCGTTAAGTGCCACTTTTTAAACCACGTCGAGACAACCATTAGAATATCTTGCATATATCCTTTTCATCGCCAGCAATGAGTGCAATGTCATCCGCGTAAAGGAGAATGCTTAAGACAGTAGTATCTATTCTAACACCTTTATTGAGAGAATTGACTTCTTTAGCTAAGTCATTCATAAATAGTGCGAAGAGTGTGGAAGAAAGGTTGTCTCCTTGACGAACTCCAGAGGTGCAGCGAAACCAATCCGTGCTGTATCCTGTTAATTTTACACATGATTATAAAATATTAAAAAGACCAAGTAAAATCAAAGACAAACAATATTCATTTTAGAAATAATTTGCCAGCAGCAGTCAATGAAAGACATAAGGTTTCAAAGAGTATCACTAGAAATAAAACTTAAAATAAGATAAACTGCACGCAACGTGCATGGAATTGTTTGGAATACAAGATAGCAACAAATAACTTTGGTAAAATGAGAACATTTGTAAAACTTGATAAAATTAATTGAGACATCTATCACAGAACATTATATACAGTTGTGATTAATCTTTAAGTATTTTTAAGTATGATTTACCATAGTGATAACTTTGTCACTTTGCAGGCACGTAGCAACAGGGGGCCAGGGAGCCTGCCCCCCTTTTTCCAAAGACTTTTTTTAGCTCACCTGAGCCAAAGGCTCAAGTGAGCTTTTCTGATCAAAATTTGTCCGTTGTCTGTCGTCGTTGTAGTTGTTGTAAACTTTTCACATTTTCATCTTCTTCTCAAGAACCACTGGTTCAATTTCAACCAAACTTGCCACAAAGTATCCTTGGGTAAAGGGGATTCAAGTTTGTTCAAATGAAGGGCCACGCCTTCTTCCAAGAGGAGTTAATTGAGAATTCGTGAAAAATTAATGGCATCATTAAAAAATCTTCTTCTCAAGAACCACTGTGCTTGAAAATATGAAACTTATGTGGAAGCATCCTCAGGTAGTGTAGATTCAATTTTGTTCAAATCATGGCCCCTGGGGGTCGGGTGGGGCCACAATGGGCGATCAAAGTTTTACATAGGAATATATAGGAATAATCTTTAAAAATCTTCTTCTCAAGAACAGCAAAGCCATGATTGGTCATATTTACGTGGAAGCATCCTCAGATAGTGTAGATTCAGGTTTGTTCAAATCATGACCCCCGGGGGTCGGGTGGGGCCACAATGGGCGATCAAAGTTTTACATAGGAATATATAGGAATAATCTTTAAAAATCTTCTTCTCAAGAACAGCAAAGCCATGATTGGTCATATTTACGTGGAAGCATCCTCAGATAGTGTAGATTCAAGTTTTATCAAATCATGACCCCCGGGGGTCGGGTGGGGCCACAATGGGCGATCAAAGTTTTACATAGGAATATATAGGAAAAATCTTTAAAAATCTTCTTCTCAAGAACAGCAAAGCCATGATTGGTCATATTTATATGGTAGCATCCTCAGATAGTGTAGATTCAAGTTTGTTCAAATCATGACCCCCGGGGGTCGGGTGGGGCCACAATGGGCGATCAAAATTTTACATAGGAATATATAGGAAAAATCTTTAAAAATCTTCTTCTCAAGAACAGCAAAGCCATGATTGGTCATATTTACATGGAAGCATCCTCAGATAATGTAGATTCAAATTTGTTCAATTCATGACCCCCTCCCCCCCGAACCACTTTTTTATTTAAACTTTTCAACCTTTCAAGACTGAACTGATTTCTGCTTTTTCCTAGCCATAGTGCTCAGGTGAGCGATTTGGCCCCTGGGCCTCTTGTTACTATTTGAAATGTTAATTGAAAGGCCGGTTCCCCCCTTTTTGTTGAAGTATACCCCGGTAGTCAAATAAGGGTTTTGTAGTAGTGTATGAATAAAATTTGGTACTGAAAGAAGTTGGAACCTAACCCCCCCCCCCCCCCCCCCCCCCCCTAACGAAATAGGATTTTCGAGTTTGAACAATTTCCCTTTTTTCAGGTAAATTGAATTTTTTTTCCTCTGCCCCCCCCCCTCCACTTTCAAAAACGATGCTACGTCCCTGCTTTGATTTACTATACTGATAACTTCGAAAACTATGATCAACTATAGCATAACTTTGAAAACTTTGATGTACTATAGTGAAAACTTTGAATTACCATAGTTAACTAATGTATGTTTTTGTTAGGGTAACTTTAATTTGAAACTTTATGCGGTTAAACATTCGTATTACTTATATGAACACCTATCATACACACAGGCACTTGTTTCGTATACGGGGCACCCCTACTTATTTTTACCACAAGGTACCTAACTCAATTTCAGGCACCCCCACTTCAAGCTCGTATTTTGTTAATATACCAATCATTAACCTACTTTAAAATGACATCGTTCGCTTCGAAGGACTTTTTTCTTGTCAATTAAATCGTTTCAGACGTCTCTGGCCGAACCTCTTTATTGTAAACCACTCATTTATTCCTCGAAAATTACCTCGATACAAAATAAGACTTTAGATGGGATACAGAAACTTTCGGTTGTGGTTATAAATGTAGGATAAAACCGGAGACTTCCGAGTATTCCATTCCGAGGTCTCTGTTTTTTAAATTAATTAATTAATTAATTTTTTTTTCTTTAGCTGTAACACTGTGTAAGGGGCAGATCACTAACTGCTCGCGTCCGGATAAAATATTTCCGCCCAATTTCGCTTCGTGAAATACTCAATTTTTATCAGTTCCGGGATATATTGGTGTTGGCTCATCAGCATAATATTGATTGATAATTTAAGAAATTTGTCTGAAAATGGCCGATAGAAAGGCTGAACTTGAGCGAAAAAAGCTCAAGTTGGAGCAGATGAGAAAAGAAAGAGAGGAAAAGAATCGACAACGCAAGCTTAAAGAGGTATGAGTCACCTTGGCCACTGTTGGCTATGTTACAATCAAAGTAAAATTTATATAATACTTCAGCTACCAACATGATCAAGCAATTCAGTTCTTTATGCAAAAAGATTAAATTAGTTAAATTCCGTAAGTTATGAGAATTATGGCATCTATGTATCTTAGATGTAAGTTAAGTGCGAAGTGAAATATTTTGGCAATGCTTATGAACAGCTGATGAAAGTAATGCACAAGATTTAAAGTGTACCACCACAATGATAGACCATGGATTGCTCATTTACTTCTTGTACAGATGGTGAAGGTGTAATTTTTGATCTATATACTGAATTTCCACCCTTCTGCTATGAATCTGGGTTAATTCATTCAATGTTCAAGATAAGAAGATATAAGGGAAGTATTGAATGTGCTGTCAGGGGTATTTACATGGAGTCTAGGTCTTCACATTGCACAGAGATAAAGATTAAAAGAACTTGTCCAGGTATAGGGAGGAATTTTGTAAATAGTTTAGTATTTGGGGGGGGGGGTCATTTGTATAAGAATTGGACATTTTGAAAAAAAAACTTGTTGGTGAAACTTTCAACAACCAATTTTTTTTTTAGAGTGGAGAAGATAAGAAGTCTGGACAGAGCGGTGGCCAGACCCAAGATTTAAGAAAAGAAACTGATGAGTTGCTTGCCAATTTAGGGATCCCTGAGTCATCACGTAAATAATTAGTGCTTGTCATACTACAAGTAATCCTTACTGAAAAAAAAAAAATTATGATGATTACTCAACTTTCATTGCTGTAATTTCAATGGTGTAAATTTTTCTCTGTATTGATAAGAAAAAATGTTCTTCAGCAACACCAACCCAGCCAGTAAAACAAAGTGATCAGAAATCGCCAACCCCTTCTGAAGGTGCACCTTCTGTAGCAGCCCCCACTCAAATGTAAGTTCAAAATATTTAAAGCAAACTGTAAACAGGTGTTTGTATATATTATCAGTGTAGGAAAATTATTAACATTCAATGATTCATGTACAAATTTAGTCAACAATTAATTGTATTAGTTGTACGGTACTTTCCTGTAAATCTTTAATGATAACGTTGGATTTCTTGACTTGTATCTTTTTCTTTTTTTTTTAAACAAATATTTAAAAGGGATACTTTTGTAAAATTGTATTTTTTCAACTAGATTTTAAAATCTTAAGTATGATTTTCTTTTTATCACTACAGCACTAGTAGACAAAGAGCTAAGTTATCACTAGTAAAAGTAGCAGAGACAAACATACCTCCTCGTGAGAATGTGTCCTACAGCAAGGAGACTCAGACCGTTATTGTAGAAACTGCAGAGAAGGAAGGCAAGTATTGAGCATATACCCAGGTCATGGTAATTGCTACGTTAACACTTGTATATACATGTATGTGTTTATTACAAGTATAATTGTCTAAATCCTTGATGTCAATGTTCGGCTTAAATTTTTTTTCGAGAAACAAATTATGCATTTATAATAATGTTCTTGAAATTTCCAATGAATTCATGATAAGTTTTAATAACTTTGGTTAACCAGGACATAAATATGGAGGTAGGATTTTTAAAATTTTTGTTTCAGAAGTTAGTTGGCATATTTTGTTGCATTATTTGTAGGAATATTCAAAAGCTTTGCTTTTATGTAAATTTCAGTGCCATCTATGAATCTTGTAAATCTTTATTCATACATGTATCATGTTTTATATAATTTTAAGTAAGTGTTTCTGTTCTTCTTGGCAAAAAATGTTTGTGGTACATGTATGTTTTTTTATATTTTCATGAAACCTTTCTTTGTTTTTAACTTTGCAACATCTTTTTTATGTGATATATCATTTTGAGTATTGATTGTGAAACATAAGCTACAAATCTTTAAAAAAAAAGATTTAGTTAACAATAAAAGCCAAAGTTGAAAACTTTTAGCCAATTTGACACAATGACTTTTGTGTTGCAAATTCATTTTCAGACTTGATAGTTTAAATTGTATTAGGTTAAAATATAAAATCATACGATGAACATCTATCATGCATTTTCATCATTTTGATTTGAAAGCATGTGGAGTTGAAAATTATATTGTTTTAGAAAATATGTTATTCAGCCATGAAAACTGAATGCCCAGGCAATCTTATTTTTATTTTGAATGATATTTACATGTATGCATAGAATGGCATATTTATGACTTTAAATGTCATGGATGGAATGGGCTTAGACTGAGAATGGGAAATTTTTACAATTATTTTTGTGAAGAGTGGTCATTCTTAGGAAAAATTATAGATGCATTGAGAATGTCACAAAGTTTGATTTCAATGTGTAAAGTGGACATCATTATTATGTAGTACATGTATTTATGTTTGTTTGGTTGTTTTCATGCTTGCGCTAGCCCGAGGGCCGTGGGACTATTACGGTGAGTGGTGTTCTGGCGTTATCAGGTCGAGAAATACAAATAGCTGTATTTAGTTACCATGGTGACAAATAAAGTTTTTAGGGATGGTTTTGTTAATCAGTGAAAATGTCCTTAAAAATAATAATCTCTTTACTTAATTATTAATTATTTTTAATGCTTATTGTAGAAAATTTTATCTTTATAGGTCATATTGCTCTTTTTTTGTTGCAAATTGGTTTTAAACAATGATGATCTATATCACACTGAACATGGAAAAATAAGTGGTCCATGGCATTAAAAAGACCACTTAAGTTTTGTTGACTGTAGCCAAACACTGTAGGATTGTTCGATTGATTGATTAGGATTATTGCCAAAAGGGGAACCAAACTTAAAATGCACCTTCCATCTTAGATATGACACTGTATGGCCTTTCATTTCTCCATTGCTTGTTTTTTGTTGTCAGCTTTCTGTGCTTAACTGTTTTTATTTTGTTCCTTCATTTCCTTCATTTTCTGCCTAGCTTTTCTTCCTGGATTCTATTAAATTAATGATAATAGAAAGTTTGCCGACTGTGATAAATTTATGTGATGTTAAAGCTCAGATATTAAGTAAAATAAACCCAAATCTATCAAAAAGTAAATATACATTTAATTAATAAATAAATGCATATCTTTTTTAAAAATTTAATTTAGGTATATCTTTCTGTTAAGTTTGATATTCTTCTTATATTTTCTGAAATATATTTGCTGAAAGGAATTTGAATAAAAGCACAAAATTATTCAAGACAAAAAATAATAATTCAAATAATAGATTTGCATTCCTCAATTTTGGAATTATAACATTTAATGGTTTAAGTTATGGTGGCATTTTCTTTTTCTAGATGATCAATCTGACGAAACATGTAGCATTTCCAGTCTTGTCAGGGGTACGTTTTCTGTTAGATCTGCCACCAGACATTTTATATCTGCTGCAGAGTTATGTCCCTTTGTTGTATCTTTATTGACAATAAGGATGGCTGACCAAAAAAAAACAAAAAACAAAAAAAAACATGTCTACTCATTTTTCTATATATTGGAAGGTGTATTTTATTGCATAAAATTATTTGCCATAATGTTGATTTAAATTGGTTAGACTAAGTTCTGTTTCGGAAACCCTGATAAAATCAGAAAGGCAATTTACAACCACATTTTGATGTTGAAATAATAATTTCAAGAGATGTAACCAGTGAGTTAACAGGCTGTGGTTTTTCTTTCACTGCCACCGGGAACACTTTAATAGGTGCGTCTTCTCGCTTTAGTTCACCTCGTCATAGCCACTCCTCCCCTCATCATGGTTCCCCCAAATTTCTTCACCATGATATGGAATGGGAGGATGAATTTGAATTTTATGACGAAGGTGCAGCATTGTCCATGTTGTCGTTTGTTTCTTTTTTTTCACTATCACCAAGAAAACGGTGAAATTTCTTTCTTTTCTTTCATTTTCATTAAAGTATCTTTAGCCACTCTGACAGTATCATGATTGACATTTCTACCTCTGAATGTTGTGTTTTACTAGTAGGTCTTAGATTCTGTTGTTGCAAATTTACCATTGCACTTTGTGGATATGTCTTTTGCTTGACACTGTTGTTGTCAATTAAGTGTTGTGCGCAGTGGTTACACTGTATGTCAAATAAAGAATGTGTGTGTTTCCGGTAAAATACCAAAAAAAAAAAAAAAAAAAAAAAAAAAAAAATTAGGGTAGGTAGGTAGGCGATAACTTTTAAAAAAATTTTACATTTTATTTTGAAAGCATCAGTAAATTATTCAATTTGCTTTTTTTTTGTCATATATACATACACATGTATGGATTAACATACACAGCAAAACAAGTGTCCTCTTTAAAACACTTGGATAGACATGTTTTTACAGTATCTGAGACATGCATCTTATTGACTACACTATGAGAAAACTGTGCTTGTGAACAAAAGTACAGTTCAAAACTGGATTTAGAATGAAAATTAGTAGGGTCAGTGGGTGAAAATTAGGGTCGACTGGGTTACCAGAAACACACTTTTTTGGCCTTATAAATATCATTTAAACTATGCAATGCAACAACAGGAACATAATTTGGCTGATACTGACAGGGTTCGACACTAAATTTTTAAGGCTTTAGTCCAGCCGGACTAGTGCTTCATTACTTTTATTAGTCCGCACGCGATTTTATTAGTCCGTCCAAAAAAAAAACATCAATGTTTTTTAACAGTAATTTAACGTGAAATACGTATTATTTTTTGAAATAAAGTATTTATGTGAAATATATTATTCCACAGATTCATTGAAATCTCGCAATCAGCAAGTACGATGTTCGTATTCCTGATCTCGTTTTTTTTCCCCTTTACATTACATTCAAGGCGTCCAACATCTTTCTTAAAAGTGTCATATTAAATCATGATCGCTAAAATCTTATACTTCATATCTTTCAGTCGAAAAAATTAAGTGCTGAATTGACCCGGCATTGCGTAACTACCCGCCAAAACCTGTCGAGAATCGGACATCGGTAATTTATTCATATTGTTTTTCAGAAATTTCTATTGGTTCGTTCGGACTAATTAGCCCCATATTTTATTAGTCCGAATGAAAATGTATTAGTCTGAGACTAACGGACTAACGTTAGTGTCGAACCCTGTACTGAGGCTGTCAGAGAAACAGAACAGCTCCTGCATGTGAAAAGAAATCATTTATTTTATTCTAAGCTGTTTTGAAATGCCTTCTGTTTATTTATACTGCAGTTTTGAATGCTGCAACTTTGTTCTATTTAATGAATAATATTACTCATTATTGATTTAGTGCACTGTGTTATATTTTTGCAAGATATTTCACAAGTTGGCAAAGCTTAACATGTGTGTACTACATATATGCAGTTTCTCTATTTCATCTTTTAGAAAATTAAAAAACAATGCATGTTTTAAAATCATTTTTATGTATTCCATGTCCATGTAAGTGTTAGCATGAATAAGTGCACATGAATGAATTATCACATTTTGATATGGAAGGTGCATTTTCTGTTCATGTATATAAAATAAAGTTACATAACAAAATACTTATGCTGATACATACTTGCATTTAAAATGATAGAGTTGCATGTGAAATCAGTTGGAAGTTTCTTTTCAGTGTAGTGCTGTTGTGATTAGGAATTGCAGCTTTTTTGTGGTTTATTGTAGCTTGTATTGCATTGAGACTTGAAATGTGTTATTTTTTGGTATTATTGATATAAAAATCATAAATTTTAGAGCTTTGCATTTTCAGTCTGCAAATGCCTCATGTTTTTGAAGATGTTTGGTATATGTACATGTACTGTAATTACATTATTAGTTTTGGAAGCTACAATATGACAAATTACTAGATAGAAACAATAGAGTTTTTGAAACAATCAATCAACCATGCATTGTTTTGCCAAAAATTATAAACAGAAAAAAATGACAATCTAAAAATCATGCAAAGAAGAATAATGCTATTAGATTTTTTGTGAAAAGGGTTTATATGTGATGTAATATTATTCGTTCAATTTGATATTTCAATGTTTCCAAATACCAATCAGTTCTCTTGTTTATGAACAGCAGCGTTGAATTACTAACACTTAGTTCTTACTTATGATGACCCTCGTGGTCACTCAGATGAAGACACAGATTCAATTGATGTCCACCCTGCTGCTCCAGCCCACAAGATGCCCCATGTGGAGATGGTCCACCCCACCCAGACCCCCGCAGACATCCAGAAACAGGAAGAAAAACCAAGTAAGTTCCTGCCCCAAAATTAAAAGCAACATGTTCTCTATGCATGGTCCTTAAATACCATTGCTTAATCATGTTTATTTGTTGTTAATGATTACCCATAAATTACATCTTTACTAATAAACATTTTATACATTTACCTTGGAAATTTATTAAATTATTCATTTTTTTGAAAATATTTGTTTGAAGTTGAAACATTAAACTTAATCTGAAATGATAATTAAGAGATAAATATTTGCATGCACAAGATTTAGAACATACTTGAATAGCATGGGGCAAAAAATTAAACTTAATTACTTTTGTGTTAATCAGGTCAACCCAAAATGAAAGGTATTTCCTCATAATAATATAGAAGCTTTAGCCCCTTCTTTAGATTTAATTTTCTAATTTTACTCCCAACCCTTTAATATCTGGAGCATGAATGTTGGTGTAAATATACTTTGTATTTTACATCAGAAATGGTGAACATGGCTGCTACAACTTCACTAATGAGCATAAGAGCAATCATTTGAATTTGTGTTCGCAGCAAAGTTATGTCTGAAAAAAAAAACATTAATGAATTGATTTGCTATATTGCTTTCTATGCTCTTCATAAATGTTGCCACTGGAAAAAGAAAAAAATCAGTAGCTAATTTTCAGTCATTTTCCGTTTATTCCTATTATTTGTTACTTCATTAATGATTCAAGCATCATATGCATTTTTTTTATCAGTTAAGAAAATTATTTAAAGTGGAATGACCATAAAAAATCTCATTTCTTTCTAGATATACTAAATATATCTTTTATGTGGTCTGTATATTCTTCATGAGTTAAAAGTTAAAAATTTTCCTAATATTGTATGTGCTTCTCTCTGCAGTAATATACGTATCTGTCTTAATTCATAAAATTCCATTTCAACAAACATGTCTCTTTTATCTGGACTGCTTCTTCTCTTAATAAAATTATCTAGATAATAGAATTGTTTGGACTATTGAGTCTTTCCTTCAAAGGATTTTAATAATGTGATGAAAACAGGAAATATGTTGTCCTCCAAGGTCAGGCATGGCCAATTCTAAAAATCTTGCAATATAAAACTCTTATATGACAAAAACTTGTATTGTAAGAGCATCAGGTGGTCATACTAAGCACAAAGGTTGCTTGCAACAAAGAGCTCAACAAAAAGCCATGGTTGTTTGAAGAGGCCAAAGTCACATGGGGCATATGTTGAACATTCTGGACTGTGGAAGCTCCTACTTTCATATTTGACACAAAGTTTGCTCATGATCAGAGGAGTTACAACCTTTAACAAATTAAAAGTACATGTTAAGAAGTTTCTGGCTATAGGAATTTTCAGTTTAATTTCATTTGGAAGAAGGCAGAGGTCTTTCTTAGGAAATTTTAATGTAAGCTATTTCTTTAGTTCCCACAGGGGGGTGGGGGGTTATAAGTAAGTCCCAAGTTCTAGTTTGCATTCAGACACTGGTGTATGTTCTACAATAAAAAATATTTTCATGGATTCCAAGTATAAGTCATATAAAAAAAGGGGGGGGGCTTATGCAAACTTAACACAGCACTTACAAGCCCTGTGGTAAGTAATTGAATATTCATAAAACTTTTTTAAGAAATGCAGAAAGTTTCTGGGTATAAAATTTAGTATTACGAATTACATGTAATGATCTGAGTGTTACATTTTAAGTAACAGATACTAAACTGAGTGATATATGTTCAGAGTAACTGATCTAAGCATTATATGATTGTTAGTTATTGAGCTGAGTGTTATATTGATAGTTATAGAGCTGAGTGAGGAAGAGAAGAAACAAATCATGATGACAGAGGAATTCCAGAGTTTTTTCAGCAAGACAACACGGGTTGTGGAGCGAGCTTTGGATGAGGACATTGATATTTTCGTAGATTATGCTGGAGGGGATGGGGAGGATATGGAGAGGTATGCATTTTGAGAGAATGGGTGGAAAAGGTTTCAGTCAGTGTAGTTGATTAAAGAGGATAAGTATGAAAGGATTCTCGACATAGGTTAACTCAAAGTCTCATGGCTTGATGTTAGAAATGGAGAATAGGAACATTGTTGTAAGAAAAGCTTGTAATCAAGTTTTAGAGAATGCATAGGTAATTAGCTCACCTGAGCCGAAGGCTCAAGTGTGCTTTTCTGATCGAAATTTGTCTGTTGTCTGTCGTCGTCATTGTCATAAACTTTTCACATTTTCATCTTCTCAAGAACCACTGGGCCAATTTCAGCCAAACCTGCCACAAAGTATCCTTGGGTAAAGGGGATGCAGCTTTGTTCAAATGAAGGGCCACACCTTCTTCCATTCATGAAAAATTAATGGCATCATTTAAAAATCTTCCTCTCAAGAACTACTGTGCTTGAAAATATGAAATTTATATGGAAGCATCCTCAGGTAGTGTAGATTCAAGTTTGTACAAATCATGACCCCTGGGGTAGGGTGGGGCCACAGTGGGCTATCAAAGTTTTACGTAGGAATATATATGAAAAATCTTCTTCTCAAGAACAACAAAGCCATGATTAGTCATATTTATATAGAAGCATCCGCAGGTAGTGTAGATTCAGGTTTGTTCGAATCATGACCCCAGTGGGTAAGGTGTGGCCACAATGGGCGATCAAAGTTTTACATAGGAATACACAGGAAAAATCTTTAAAAATCTTCTTCTCAAGAACAACAAAGCCATGATTGGTCATATTTATATGGAAGCATCCTCAGGAAGAGTAGATTCAACTTTGTTCAAATTATATCCCCCGGGGGTAGGATGTGGCAACAATTGGCGATCAAAGTTTTACATAGGAGTACATAGTAAAAATCTTTAATAATCTTCTTCTCAAGAACAGCAAAGCCTTGATTAGTCATATTTATTTGGAGGCTTCTACAGGTAGTGTAGATTTAAGTTTGTTTAAATCATGACCCCTGGGGGTAGGGTGGGGCCACAATGGGTGATCAAAAGTTTTACATAGGAGGACATAGAAAAAATTCTTTAAAAATCTTCTTCTCAAGAACAGCAAAGCCATGATTAGTCATATGTAAATGGAAGCATCCTCAGGTAATTTAGATTCAAATTTGTACAAATCATGACCCCCCAGGAGAATAGAGGTGCCATAACAGGGGATCATAGTTATACAATGGATATATCAATAAAAATTTTCCTCTTAAGAACAGCAAAGCCATTGTTTGTTATATTAATTCAAAAGCATCCCTATGAAGTATAGATTCAAGTTAGTTAAAATCCCCCCCCCCCCCCCCCCAAAAAAAAAACCCAGTTTTTATATTTAAACTTTTCAAGACTGAACTGAATTCTGCTTTTTCCTAACCAGAGTGCTCAGGTGAGTGATGTGGTCCCTGGGACCTCTTGTTAAGTAATTGTGAGGAAAAAAACTGGATTGCTCAGTATTAGCACACAAACTGGGTAGATGATAAAAACAGGTACGTGTAGGTTTAGTGCTTCATTAAGAAAAGTGAAAGGACCATGAATTAGAGAAGAGATAACAATCTGCTTAGCTTTATGTAAGTGTGACAAAAAAACGAAAGTTTGATGTGCTTACAAAAAGTGCATAACCTAGTACCATGAATAATTGTTGTTCGAGCAGGGGGGTACTGTATGTAATGGCACTTTCCTGGATTTCTACTGCACATGACTATGACCCTAGATTACAGTTAACATGAATCAGATCAAAGAAATATTTGTTGGTTTTTACATTAAAGTGACTTGCGAGCAGGAGAAAGACTGAAACTTCAGAGGAATTTCTTTGATGAGAGATGGTCCAAACATCGCACGGTAACCAGCCTAGACTGGTCTAAACAGGTACTAGCAATGTGTGCTTCTTTTATCTTATACAACATATAGTGGCAGTATAGATCCATGTACAGTATTTTCTGTACTTACTGGAAGAAATTTTATGTGAAAAATGGTAGCAAAAAAAGAAGCTTTTTTTCACAAAGGAGAATTTAAGAGAAATAGAAAAAAATGTGTTTGAACAAACATTAATTCTTCTTATAGCACCCAGAGCTGTTGGTGGCTTCATACAATGCTAATGAAGATTCTCCTAATGACCCTGATGGAGTGACTCTCATCTGGAATTCTAGATTTAAAAAGACCACTCCTGAATATGTCTTCCATTGCCAGGTAACAGCATTAAAAAATAAAAAATCAAAAAAAAAATTAGTCTTAGCATTTGATAGGAGTCAAATCCTTTTCTTTTAACTTTTAGGAAACTTCTTTTTTCAAAAATGTACTTTGAATTTTGAAATTTAAATGACATTTTAAACACCTTCTTCTCCCACAAATAAAAAAGAACAAAACAAAACATTATGTTGATAAACACATGTGGTTCGGACTATTAGTCATTTTAAAATTGTAATAATTCACATTTGTTTTAATCACAGTCCCCTGTGATGTCAAGCTGTTTTGCTGAGTTCCACCCTAACCTTGTGGTGGGAGGGACCTACTCGGGTCAGATTGTGCTGTGGGACAACAGGGTCAACAAGAGAACCCCCATACAGAGGACTCCCCTCTCAGCAGCTGCCCACACTGTAAGATTCCATGAACAATAAAGACGTAACTGTATAGGTGCTAACTTAAACTTTTATAATGTTGATGAGTACAGTAAAACACGTTTAAAGCAAACACTCTTATACTGAATTGACGCATGCAGTAAAGTGATTTTTATTTCCTGTATATTGTGAACTTAATGAATAGGCCTATAATGAAAAATTGTCCATCCCTTGCACTTCATTATGAGTGTTTTACTGCATATGCACCAAATTGGTTTCAATTAACCTTATTTTATCTGTAACCAAGGACAATATTTTTATATATACAGAACTAATTTTTGGAAAAATTTTTCTGGCTTAAGATAGAAGATATTCTATTTTTAGCACCCTGTGTACTGTATTAATGTTGTGGGGACACAGAATGCCCATAATCTGATCAGTGTGTCCACTGATGGTAAAATGTGTTCCTGGAGTCTGGACATGCTGTCACAGCCACAGGTAAAACTTACACATCTGTGTTAAAGCTATTAAGTCTCCCATCCTTATACATGTACTATAAAAAAGAAAATGTAAGTAAGTTAACTATATACAATATATATAAGTATATAGAGCTGTAAGTCCTCGTGGACTTGAAATGTAAGTAAATCTATATGCTAATACAATTATAAATACCATATTGTACATGAAAATTGTAAAGAAAAACATTACAAAGGAAAGTGAAGTATGACAGTTCAATGTAAGCAATTTATGTGAACATTAAGTAAATGTGTAATATAATTGTGCACAACAGGACAGTATGGAGCTTCAACACAAACAAAGTAAAGCTGTGGCGGTCACCTGTTTTTCGTTTTTATCTGGGGACGTTAATAACTTTGTAGTGGGCAGTGAGGATTGTACTGTGTACACAGCCTGCAGACACGGAGGGTAAGAATGTATAAGATACACACTGGTTTATGCAAAGGAATGTTCACAATGATTTTTTGCAAAGGAGTGTTCAGTTATAGTAATGTACAGAATCTTTCTTGAATACAGGTATTCCAGAAAATTCTAAATCTAGATTGCAAAGGTTTTTTTTTCTTTGACAGTAAGACTGGTATTAATGAGGCCTTTGAGGGACACATGGGGCCCATCACGGGGATAGACTGTCACAATGTGCCAGGTCAGATTGACTTCTCCCCCTACTTCCTCACCTCCAGCTTTGATTGGACACTCAAGCTCTGGAGCATTAAGGTGGGTAGATAAAACTGTAGGAGGGGTAAATAAAATAAATAAAAAATGTGGTAGTGTCAGATACATGGCTTCCTACTAGCTTGGGCTAGTGGGTTAACCCTTTAGCTCAATTGGTAGAGCACTGGACTGGCAAGCCAGAGGCCCCGGGTTCAATCCCCAGCAGAGGCACAAAATGTCTCTGTTACATTTGGCGCCCAACGTGGGGTCCGGGTGTTCTCTGGCGGGTGAAAGTGATTGCCCCCAGAACTTCGCCCCACAGGCATTGGCACTCCAAAAGAGATGAGGACATCTCATTCTCTGGAGAGGGACAATGTGGTAGTGTCAGATACATGGCTTCCTACTAGCTTGGGCTAGTGGGTTAACCCTTTAGCTCAATTGGTAGAGCACTGGACTTGCAAGCCAGAGGCCCCAGGTTCAATCCCCAGCAGAGGCACAAAATGTCTCTGTTACATTTTGATGTAAATAATTCCATGTGGATTTATTCAGTAAATGAAATGCTGTAAAGAAATAAATACGACAATTTAACCGAATTAATGTAATCCTGAAATATAATAATTAATATATGAAATAAATCACCCTATCACACTAGAAACAGTATTCAGACTGACAAACTCGGAACAGAAACAATATTCAGACTGACAAACTCGGAACAGAAACAATATTCAGACTGACAAACTCTGAAGCATTAAAGATTGGAATATAAAACTACAGGGAAGGAAATTAAACTGTGGAGCATTAAGATGTGTGGATAAACTAACGATTGAACTTGTTAAGCAAAGTTTAGAGCAGAAAATGTTAGCTGTAAAACTAAATGAAGACACTAAACCTCTGAGTGCAGTTTGGTAGAGAATGGTTTAGAGTTCTGAAGCTTTGAGGTGGCCTCTGAAGCATTAAGGTTAATATTTGAAACTGAGATAAATTGGCATTGTTACAGACTAAATTCTAGTTTCTTGTTATTTGTGGTGAACTTGGTTAATTTTAAAATGTTAGGTGTATAAAATTAGTTTTATGAAAGTCTTCCAATGTTAGTAAATCAATTTAAACATACATGTATCTATAATATGTAATTTATCCTATATATGTAAAAGCATTTCAACGGATTTGTAAGATTTTAACTTCGGAAATTTTATTTTACAGGATCAAAAATTCTTACATTCCTTTGAGGATAACAGTGATTACGTATATGATGTCCAGTGGTCACCTGTCCACCCTGCATTGTTTGCCAGTGTAGACGGTGATGGACGTCTAGACCTGTGGAATCTCAATAATGAAACTGAGGTGAACTAATTATGTTTTTATTACCATTATGTCTATGTACAAGCCACTTTAAGTCATTTTCACATGAACTTCAAATACGAGTTTCACAAGGTTGTGAATGTCTGAGCACTAAAGAATACATGAAAATGGTGAGCATAGCAGGAAATAATCTTACAGAAGATATGAGATTCAGATAATTATGTCACTGGATTATATCTTGAAAATAAAGTCATGCAAAATACGTGGATGTTATTTATGTGATATCATTCATATTTTCATTGTATGCTGTCAGCATACAGAAAGAATTTGAACCCTGAAATTTTTATATAATGATTATTTAGATATTGGAAAATATGCTGAATTAAGGAATTTCCTAGTATATGTTGTATATTTTAAGTAACATCTTTTGTTTATAAATGTACATGTAGGTTCCTACAGCATCAGTTGTAGTGGAGGGGGGCGTGGCCCTTAATCACTGTAGATGGCATGGAAGTGGAACAAACATTGCTGTAGGGGATGATGTCGGAAGGATTCACATTTATGATGTGGCTGAGGTAAAACATGATTAAGTCTAATGCTAGTTCAAATTCAGGAAGTGATGTCAGACCAGGTAGACATTTTATGATGTTGAAAGTTAATTACATGTATGCTCTTGAACTTTGGTTACCTGGGTTATTTTTAACTGTTGGATGGGACTTTCTAAAAAAAAAAAAAAAAAAAACATACATGTATAATTGTTCAAGTCATGTTTCTGATTTTCTGAGTTTCTTTTTCACATCAGCATATTTTGTAGCACCTGCAGTACATCTAAAATTCAAGAGAAATAAGTTGTATTTGTGTGCTTTTTGCAGGGGGGGGGGGGGGGGGGTCAAACAATCTTGGCTTAATATCATGAATTTATTGTTTAAAAGGAGCACACATGTTATTACAAATCAAATATTTTTATTCATTTGATTTATAACAAGATAAAATAATTCAGGAAACAGTGTTGGATAAATTATTATGTTTGGTTTTTTAGAACACGGCCAATCCTAAGATGGACGAGTGGTCACGCTTTGTTAGAACTCTCCAGGAATTAAAACAGCAGGCAGTGGAGCGTGAAGAGGAGTCTTCTTTAGGATCAATTTCCATGACCTCCCCGCTAAGATGAACAATCCTCTGAACTGAAAATTTTCTCTAGACCAAACAAATAATTTGGTAAATTTTGATGGTGGAAGTGCTATATACATGTATGTGAACATTTTGCTTGACATGATGGTGACAGTGAATGTGAAGCTTAATTTACATGTATTTCAGGACAGTGTGCAATAATTGATTTAAAAATATATTTACAAAATAAAATAATGTATTCTAAATAAAATAAATGTACAGTATGTTCATTGTAACTTAAATGTCGGAAAATAAAAACACCTGATTCATCATCTGATTTATAAATATTATGCATGTGTTAGAATGTTATAAATATTATGCATGTGTTAGAATATGTGTGTGTTTGTTTATAACTGTATTTGATTTTTGGTTTTTCATACATTTTCCATGTGAACATTTACATTTCGATGTTAGCAATCATGCATAAGCTTTTATATTCTCTATTGAGAAGTTGACAGCTCATTAGTACTCCCCTTGAGAGGGTTGATAACAAGCCTTCGACTTCTCAGTAGAGAATAAGGCTTTTATGCTTCGAAGTCTGGTACAGTTCAGCTGCCCAAACGTTCCTCAGGCCAACTAAGAATCACAGCTGATTAAGCTGTGAGAATAAAATGACTTTTGATTCAGATTATAATCTTTCCCTTTCTTTCTTTTTTTTTTTAATTTGAATTATATTCTTACAAGTAAAACATGTTTTGTGATTGCTTTAATGATAATTAATTGTACAGTTTTATTTGATGTTGAATAATATTCTTTTCTGATTGAATAAGGAATCAATGGCAGTTAAACATAAACAAGAGATCCATGGTCCACAACACTCACCTGAATTACTTTAGCCCTGCTGTTCCTCAGAAGATTTTAAAAAGATTTTTATATTCCCTTGAAAAATTATGACCCCAGCTTAAATCTAAGGGGACTTTGAATCCACACACCATGAATACTTCAATATCATTGTAACAAACATGGCCTTGCAGTTATGGAGAAGAAAATTCTTTTCCTGTATACATACATTATTTGAAATTTGATCCTGGTTTTAGCCAACTCTTGCTCAAGGTCCATAATTTAGAAAAATTAAATTCATACAACATGGGAATGTTTGCAAATTAATGGTTCTATTGTGTTTCTTATTAAGAAGATTTTTTAAAAAAATTCTTAATTATAGTTCTATGCAAAAATTGGATCCCTAATTGTGGCCTGTCGCTACCCTAAACAGATCAGAATCTACACTACCTCAGGAATGATCAAATGGTTCTTAATTTAGAAAAATATTTTGCACATATATTTCAATGTAAAAAATTTGTCCCTTATTGTGGCCCCATCCTAACCCTGGGGGCCATTTGAAATATTTAGAATCTACGTTATGTATAGAAGCTTCCAAATAACTTTCAACTTTTCTAGTCCAATGGTTCTTGAGAGAAAAAATTTAAAAGATTTTCCCCATATATGCCAATATTAAAAAAATTAAATCTTTTAATTTGGCCCCGTCCTACCCCCAGGGTTCAAGATTTTAATGATTTACCGTCTATATTATGTAGGAAGCTTTCATATAAGGTTTCATCTTTCTAGTCCAGTGGTTCTTGAGAAGATTTTAAAAGATTTTTCTTGCATATTTCATTGTAAAACTTTGATCCCTTATCATGACCTCATCTTACCTCTGGGGATCATGATTTGAATAATTTAGAATCTAAACTTCCTCCCAGTGGTTCTAGAGAAGATTTTTTAATGACCCCATTTTTTGGCTTTTCTTAACTACGTGTTATCTCCACTTGGAAGAAGGCTTGATCCTTCATTTGAACAATTTAGAACTCCCTTTAAACAAGGATATTTTGTGCCAACTTTGGTTAAAATTGGACCAATGGTTCTTGAGAAGAAGTTGAAAAAGTGAAAAGTTTATAGACGGACAGACCGATGGGCGCTGGACAACGGGTGATCAGAAAATCTCACTTGCGCTATCGGCTCAGGTGAGCAAAAAATGATAAGATTATGTATTGAACAAGCCTCTTTCAAATATGCTCTTTTGCGAGGGGATGATCCGTTTTGCGGTACCCTTGTTACAATGAGATTGAACAAGAACTTGGTATGTTGTTAAAGGTTTTTTTATTATTATTTTTGTGTGGTCGCCTGCATGGTGCAGTGGTATAAGTGTGTTATACTCTTGAGTCGCGAAGTAAGATGATCCTTACATCCGTGGTTGGAATCCATATGACGGTAAATGTACAAATTGTCGTTGGCGACAATATTTAGCCACCATCTGCACGTCGTCTATCGATACATATTTATGGAACACATCAGCTGCCTTATGTGGAGAACTTTCATTATATGCTGATACTTTCAACATTATATGCTCATATATGTATCATCATATATTTACATTCACTGAATATTTTCTCCTTTATTTCTAAAGAAAACCATTCAAGTGCCGTTTACCAGTTCATGAACAACACTAGGCATATCACCTGTACAGATTTCTTGATCAGTGGCTATTCCATCAATGAAACATATCAATAATACAATAATTAATCTTTTTTATCCTACTTTAAATGATTATTTATACAGATATGTAAATACATGTATATAAAATTATAAACAATAAAATGTCTTTCTTTGGTTGTTAGCACGGAAATAAACCGTTCTTGCTGTCTGACACGAGGTTTAAAAATATAAAAGGGTTTTTAGGATAAAAGTAAAAAAGAAATCTTTTCCTTTCACCGAAAATCCTCTTAGTACTATAATGATTTTATTTACATAATGCATATGTGCATTGTAATGCAGATTGTTTTAAATTAATCATTACCATTTACAAATTTTGTCTCTATGATGTTACATGGCTTGAGGAGGGCGGTATGCGCGACAGAGGCAACCTTGTAACAGTTTTTAAGCACACATTTTGCATGGCTCTCTGTTTTTTATTGAATGGCACTACTGCTTAATGGAATGGTTGTAATTTTCCCAGAATCATGGCTAAGGCCTGTTATTAGGTGAACATTTACTCAAATTACACTGATGGCCCAACGGTAAATCATTTAACACTATCCATTAAAAAGCGTTAAGTGTATTATAAATCTGAATAGTAGAGTAGAACCATGCAACAAGTAAAGCTTAGGTAAGGTAAGTTAGGTAATCTGTAGATTTAATAACCGTACGCATTTGAATAAAGCACCAAACGATCATTCATATGCAGTGAGAAAATATGACATACCGTGCAATGCGTAGAACAACGAGGGAGTCATGATGCAAATGCATTTTGGCTAACATTCAACGCAACGACACGATATCTGAACAGGACACAAATTATAAAATATAAAATTTAAGTAAACTGATTGCATAAGTGAATGTCAAACCCTTGTTACATACTTGGTCAAATAAAGAATATTTTATAGACCTCCTCTCAGCATGTGGATAATTTAGATACTTTTCATAACGGTACAAAAAATATCCAACTGGGATTTCAAGCTGACATATCATCTTCCTTGCACGTTAGTAAACATATAAGTATTATTGAGAGTAAGGAGGTTGGGAGGGGCAGAGTGGGGAGGGAGAGAGTGGGTGGAAGGAGGTTGGAGGGAGTGGAGAGGGAGAGAATGGGGGGAATATTTAACAATATTTAGCGATTAGCGGATTCCAGTAAAAGTCCCTCTAAGCCTCTTTCTTTACTCCTACTAAAATATTAACAGCAGTGAAGGAGAAACTTCAGGAGTATTGTGCAACAATATATTCGAGGAGTGGTGTTAATCAGATGTGGATACTTAAATATTCAAAGGAACTTTTGGAACATTTACAATCACAAAGTTTTACCAAAAACATAAAAACGTACGACTTTCCAACTCTATATACAACCATTCCCGACAAAAAGTTAAAATCCAGGCTTTTTGACATAATTGACAGCTGCTTTTTCAATAAATATGGAACTCGTAAATTTACTTACCTTGATTCGTTACGCATGAACAATTTCTAAAACGAGTTAAGTTATTGACAAACAAGTTGATGAAACAAGAATATCAACAGTCTCGTTTAAAGTTATCATTTTGCAAGTTATATGGTCGATACAATGACCTTGACAGCAAAAAAAAAATCTATCATTAAGTCATTCAGCCAAATGCTGACTGGCATTTTTCATACTAATCTTTAGGCCATTAATTACACACTGAATTGCTGATGGAAATTTCCGTTATTTCCCGATGCATGTGACCGGTCGGCAGGGATGCTCACTCCTCCATGGCACCTATAGCTGATCCCACCTCTGATGTTTAAGAGGTCCTTGTTTGCTCTGCTCCTGATTAGTATTGTTTGAATTGACTTTTGAGCTTGAATACTGTTCTTTATCACCATATTTCATGATATGAATTATTTCCAGCTTATGCATGGCATGCGGGAATCTACATGGGCTTCGGTTTTTAAGGTCCCAGCCGAAAAACCATTGGCTTTCAATGCCGAAGGATGTATGTTAAAATATCTAAGTTTGGCACTGCACCAGAAGGATTGGACAATCGAGCTCTGAGCTCATGGCGTACGAAGCTATCGCCCATAGGCATTATTAATATATTATTAAGAACTAATTTAATTGCAATGATATCAATTTTTTTAAAAAAAATAACCGCCCAATAAATGCAGGTTCGTGACAACGTTTTTTTTTTTGGGGGGGAGGGGGGGGGGTATTGATATTTGGAAAAACAAGAAGTTGGAATACAGCTAGAAAATAAAACATTAAAAAATGTGGCACCGATACTCCTTCATACTTTCTCATTATCAAAATTTGACAAATGTCTAGACTTTACATTTGTATACTTGTGAATTGTCTTTGTGTTTTTTAAAGAGCTCGGCAGTATAGTATGTCTAGACTATGAACCTGCTACGATTGCAAGTTCGAATTTACAAATTAAACTTACAAGTCTGGATATTTGAACACGATTACCCTCTATACTTTAGCACACTTTTCTCGTGACGGCTGCCTTTTTACTTCTTTTGTTTAGAAGAGGATCGAGTTTGGGAGGGGGATCTCCTTAGTAAATGAAATAGTACCCTCTAAAGTAACACGGATTCCTTGTTAAATTTTAAGTTTATGCATATGAAGGTAATCGGCTTGCCCTTCAGAAGTTTCAATACCCCCTACCCCGGCCCCTTAATATCCTTTATGGTTTTGTTTCTTTTTGTTGTTTTGTTTTGTGTGTTTGTGGTTGTGTTTGTTTTGTCCTTTTTTGCAAACCTTTCCAGTAAAGAAACTAAAATATATACCGGTATATTGCGTATTCGTTGACAAACAAAAATGTTCC